CCCCCCAGAGCTAGCAATCCCAAACAGTCCAGTGGAGCCTGAGCGGTGGGTGTTGCCTTCTGACACACTTCCGGTGAGGTCAGGGGGTGTGGCCTATGCAAATAAGTCATGCTAATGAGCTCCTGCACCTCTTTTTCTACGCAATGACCCCTGACTATACCAAACGGCACACGTAACCACTACACCAAGTCCCGGCCACCCCACTGCTGCCCCCCTGCCCCCGGCTGCCTGGACAAGGGTGAATTCAGCCCCGTTCTCACGTGGTGGTGCCTCCAGAGGAAGCCAGAGGGAGAGAGGAGGCCAGGCGCAGTGCTGCCCCCAAGGAGTCTGGGAAACGGAAGTAGCGGCTGTGTCTGTGTGTGTGTGTGGGGAGGTCAGATTCGGCCCAGGGCACCAGAGGAGGGCCGCGAGCCCCCCCCCCCCGGCTGCTTCCCCACAGAAATATGACTCACTGGATCCGGCCAGGGCCCCCAGCAAGCCTACGTCCCCACCCCTGCTCACAGCTGCTTTCCCCTCAGAAAGCTCTTCTGCCGCAGCCCCCTGCTCCCCTCCCCGGAGAGCCTCTGCAGGCGCCCCAGGCCCAGACTTGGAGGGGAAGGTGACGTGTGTGCGCGCACGCGCATGTGTGCCGGCCACATCTGTGAAAGGGAGAACCGGGGTCATTCCATTCCATTCCACATTCCATTTCACATCTCATTATATGGCCTACTGTAAGGCTGATCCAGGAACACACACACACACACACACACACACACACACCCGCTTGTCCGCCTCCACCGCTGGCTCCAAAGGCATCAGATACCGGCCCGCCCTGCAAGCAGCAGTGGCAGCTGCATGGAGCGCCCCCCCTTCCCCCTCGCAAAATGAAAGGCCACAGGCTCGGAGCAGGCCAGGGGTGCGGCCAGCAAGGGGGCTCTCAGGTTTCCAAGGCGCACCCACGTTTCATCTGACTGCAAGGTGACCCCCGCCACCTTTGGCGGCTCTGACCCCCCCTGGGAGCGCCTGGCCCCTCGGCAGCTGGACTGCCTCTGTGAGCATGGGCTGACACCCAGGAGAGCTCTGAGTCCCGGGGGGGCCCTTACGGACAAACGAGAGGCAGGCCCTCTGCTGAGCTCTCTGGCTCCCGTCTCAAGGGAGCCCCGGGACTCTGGCCGCGTAGGGCTCAGGGGCTTCCCCCGAAAACATCTTTTGGAGCCACCTTTCCCCTATTTTCCGCATCCAGATTTTGGCAGTTCTGCTCTGGCGTGATCCGAGGAGACCCACACGTCATCCTGGCGCTCCAGAGCTCCCCTGGCTCATCGTGCCGCTTCCGGTTTCCTCTCAGCTGGAACGGGAGCCTCGGCGTGCCAGGCTGACCCACAGCAGTGGAGCTCTTCTGCAGCCAGCCGGATGCTGCTGCCGCTGCTGCCAAGACCCCTTTCCCACCCCCAGCAAGCAACCCCCTTTTCCCCTGTATTGGGGGGGGGGCTCGGCTCCAAGGGCTGGCACAGGCAGCAGGACGCAGGAGGGAACCGCCGCCCTCGTGACTTGGGAGGAATGCCCGGCTGAGGGCCTCCGCTTGGCTGACCTACTTTTAGGGGGCACACGGAGTGGGGGCGGGGGCCGTTCCCAAGCCATTAACAAGGGCAACACGGCTCCCACCCCCGCCCGTTGCTCCCGGCCATTCTGGTGCCCGCAGGAAAACCTTCCGGAGCGCAGAGGCCAAACTCCACGCGCAACGGGCCGTTTCTCCCCAAAGAGAATCCCCCCCCCATGTTCATTCTGTGCGGCTTTTCAAGGACCTACCTGCACAAAGGGGGTGGGGGGCGGCCAAGGGTCAGCCGCCCGGATCTTTGCTACCATGGCAAAGAGCCCCACTGTGGCCGGCAGCCCTTGCGAGGCAGCATTAACGGGGTGTGTGTGTGTGTGTGTGCCGCCTTCGGAATGCTGGAGGAAGGCGCACGGCTGAGACAATCCGGACCAACAGCCTTCACACGGAGTCAGGCCTCCCCGGCTGCTGATCTGCTAGGAAAGCACAGCGCCTGATTTCCACTGGGAAGGAAAGGGACTGGGTGCCTCCTTCCTTCCTTCCCAGGGTCCCTCTGCTGACAGCCCCCCCCCCGCCCACCAGACCTCAGCCAAGGGTGGGGGGCGAAGGGGGAGGGAAAGGGGGCTTGGTGGACGCTCCCTCTTCTGTCGAGCAGCTGAGCAGAGCAGCTGAGCAGCCGGCAAGTGAAAGTGGGCCGGCCCTCCCCCACGGCCCGCCGGCCCCTGCCCTTTGCCTCCCTCCGTCTCCCCCTGCCCGCGTCTCGGCAACAAAAGCATGCAGGAAACCTCTCCGGCAAGGAGGGGGAAGTGGGATGCCGCCCATTTGGGGGGCAGCTGCACCCTGTGGGTGACGTCTGCGGGTTCCTCGGAGGCTTCTGGCCGGCCACTTTAGAAGACGCACTGCTGGACTAGATGGGCGACACGGTCCTCGTTGGCCTCAGGAGCCCAAGAAACCTGGGATCGGCCCCACGTGGGTTTCCATGCCAACTGAATTTGGACCAGTGTTCCCTCTAAGCTGAGTTAGTGTGAGCTAGCTCACAGTTTTTTAGCTTCTGGCTCACAGATTTTGTCCTAGCTCAGGAAGGATGGAGGCTCCAGAGCTTCCGGCTCACAGATTTTGTCCTAGCTCAGGAAGGATGGGGCTCCAGAGCAAACTAATTGATGCAGCAGCCAAATGGCTCACTCACAACTTTAGTGTTGATTTGGACCCGTTGGGTCCCCATACCGAAACGGCTGCGGTCAAGAACGCAACAGAATCTCCTTCTGAAGCCCACCACAGACTCCCAAAGGTGCCCCCGTTAGGGCTGCCACGTCATCCGATCCAACGTCAGTGGCACTTGTGTGCACGTGTGAGGAACAGAAAACCAGCCACACACACACACAACCAAAGTGTAGTTCTGGCACAGGCGCAAGCGATGCTTCCCACCAACTCCTGCCTCTTCAGAAGCGCTTGCCCTTCAGTGATGCCCCTGTGGGCGCAATCAATTCAGTTTCTAAACCGCCCTCCCCCAAACGACTCAGAGCAGCAGAGGGGCCGCCCCGCTTGAGCGCCAGCATTCTGCCACAACGGGCCGCTCGAAGCCTCGGCCCCCGGGCCAGAAGGGCCTCAGTCGCGCCAGCTGGAAGGAGGCAGGGAGGCACCCTGGCTGCCTCCCGCAGGTCCCATTCCAGGCAGTTAAGGAGGGTGGGTGAGCTAGTTCGGGATCCATGCGCTTCACTGAGGAAGCCACCCCAATGCCACCTCTGAGGACGGGCTTTGCCTCCGGCCAGACATCAAGGCCCAGGACAGCACCGCCCCAGGTACATGACGCAGGCGGCGGCAAGTCGCAGAACAATGCGCAAAAGTCATGCTTCAAAACAGTGTGGCTTTCCCTGCTAGGAAAGTCCTCGGGGGTCCGGATTCAAGCCAGCGTGAGAGAAGCTTTTGCCTGCACGAAGCAGAGCCCCCGAGGCCCCATTTCACAAGTCAAGGGACGGACGGCAAGGGCCAAGGAGAACCCTCCCTGCGGCACCCGGCCTCCTCGGCCCCAGGCACAGAGCCAGCAGGGGGCATGGCACGGCGAGGCCCAGGCCTGGAGGACCCACGACGGGCACCTTCCGGGCAGAGCCAGGGCTGCAGCCAAAGGCCTCCTTGCTTTCCGCAGGGCAGGCTCCTCGGAGGAGGGGGGCTTTCAAACCTTCCTTGC